TTCCCATGGTCTTATCACTAGACATCACTTTGTCATGTGACCAGTCAGGTGGCCACAGTAGCTTTGCACTTACTTGGGAGGCCAAGTAGAATGGACAAGGACTTAGCCATCTCTCTTTTCCATTTCTCAAGGAAGAATACGAATTTAAATTAAGGGAGCAAGTTTTTTCTAGATTTGCCACCATGGAGCACTTTTAAAAACATCAGAGGGATCTATGTAGTCACTTTATAATACTCATGATGTATATGTTAGAGGTTTTGTTTTGAAGAGGTAAAGAACTTTATTTCCTTTTTGTTGTGTTGAAACTTGCCCTAGGAGGTATGCACACTTGTCCATGTTAAACTAATGTTTTGAAATCAGTGTATTCTTAATTCTTATCCCACTAGTCATACTGGAGAACCCGAGGGAGTCAGGAAGTTTCGATTGCATTGAAGTGACTGCACTGTCTGGGGTAAATACCTGGGGTTCATTGTCTCATGACAAGAAAATGTGGAACACGGACACACATGAGGAGTTTAGGGGCAGAGGTTTAATAGGCAAAAGAAAGAGAAAGAAAGAGAAAGGAAAACAGCTCTCTCTCTAGTGAGAGAGAGGGACTTCCCAGAAGAAAAGGCTGGCCTGCTGTGGATGCACCATATTTTATAGGCAGGCTTGAGGAGGTGGTGTCTGATTTATGTAGGGCCCACAGATGGGTTCGATCAGGTGTGACGTTTACACAGTGTGCAGAAAAGGCTGGCCACCTTACCCCAAGTACCCTAATCATATTAGGTGACTCGGCTTTCCAGTTGACCGGTGCCATCTTGTCTGCTCCTTACTGTACATGTGGCTGGCAAAGGGAAGAGAAGATGGAACCGCCATTTTTGAGCATGATTAGCAAAACTGCCAGGGTCTATGTCTGCAGTTCTATTTTGGAGCCTGCTGTTTGTTAGAAAATGATTTGGGGGTTGCTTTTGAAGGGGTGGCCGGCCCCTCCACACCTGTGGGCGTTTCTCGTTAGGTGGAATGAGAGACTTGAGAAAAGAAATGAGACACAGAGACAAAGTACAGAGAAAGAAAAAGTGGGCCCAGGGGACCGGCGCTCAGCTTACAGAGGACCCACGCCGGCACTCCGGCACCGGTCGCTCAGTTCCCTTAGTATTTATTGATAATTATCTTTACCATCTTAAAGATAAGAGAGTGGCTGGACAATAGGATCATTGTAGGGAGGAAATCAGCAGTAAGACATATGAACAAAAATCTCTGTGACATGAATAAGTTTAAAGGAAAATGCTGTGCCTTGAGATGCGTATGCAAACATCTCCATAAACCTTTTAGCAGCATTGTTTCAGCCTATCACATGGGGAGAAACCTTGGACAATACCTAGCTTTCCTAGGCAGAGGTCCCTGCGACCTTTGGCCGTGTACGTGTCCCTGGGTAGTTGAAATTTTTAACCAACAAGCTGCCTTCAGGCACTTGTTTAACAAAGACACATCCTGCACAGCCCAAAATCCATTAGACCTTGAGTCACCACAGCACATGTCTCTTGCAAGGACAAGGTTGGGGGTAGGGTCACAGATTAACAGCATCTCAAATACAGAACAAAATGGAGTCTCTTATGTCTACTTCTTTCTATACAGACATAGTAACAGGCTGATCTCTTTCTTTTCCCCACAGCTTTTCATTGAAAAGGATAACCTTACCTAGGGGACTCTGGTATCCTCACTATCTGCCTAAGTAATTTCTTCTTAACTCCTATATCAGTATGATGTGACATTGAGAGAGCTGTTAGGCTGGTGCAAAAGTTATTGTGGCTTTCAATGGCAAAAACCACAATAACTTTTGCATCAAGCTAAATTTTTCCTTTGAAGTGGTTGGCAGGGATGATTTATTTTTCCTAAGGAAGCGCTAAGATCGTAGGAATATTTAGATTCATAAAAATTAATAGATTCCTTTGTGGATCTGAGTTGATATCATTAATATAAGCTATCAGACATCAGCTTCATGTGACTTAACTTCAAAAATATTTTAGTAAGAGTGTAACTGGAATGTTTGTAACACAAAGAAATGATAAATGCTTCAGGTGATGGATACTCTAATTACCCTGATGTAATTATTCCACATTGTATGACTGTATCAAAAGATCTCATGTACCCTATAAATACTATGTACTCATAGAAAGTAAAAACTTTAAAAAAATTAGTTCTTGTGTTAGTGCCAGCTCCATCCTGAGTTTCAACAGTTGCTATTATATTTGAGGCCTGGCATGAGGCATTAAATGCCATTGTTTCAAGAAAGATAAATGGGAATATAATTTTATTGCTATCTTACTGTTGCAAAATGGCATTCCTAAGCAACGTACCCTTTGTGAATTCTGACAATGAAATTAAAACTGACTTTCCGTTTTCAATCTGAAAGCTATTTTGGAGCTTTCATCATCAGCTAATGGAGTCTTACTTGAAGGGGGTCACATTTAAATTTCTAATAATTTTTATGTTAGAGCCTGTGAACATACAAATTTCAGGTAAATTGAAGCTAATTCCTGCAGGAGGTAAGATCATATTTAGAATTAGTTATTATTCATATTCTGAAAAGTGATGATGTCATTATGGGAGAGAATTTCTTGGGTTAAGACCATGCACTTAAAACTATTAAAATTCAAAAAACTGGATCACCATTACTGAATAATTAGTATCTGTAAGCTACTTTACTACAACAATTAGAGACCATTGAACTTACTGCCCTAAATCAGGAGATTAATGGAAACTAAGAGTGTTCTCATTTATTTGGCTATCTGGTTATTCTTGTTCCCTATTTCAGAGGTGAGATGATGTAAAATATTAATCTGGAAATATGATCTCCTAGTAGCATAATACTTTGGAAAGTCTTGCTCCTTACAAATAAAGGGTAACTCACAAAACACATACATAAGATGGTCTTAAAGCCATCAGCACTGAATATTAATGGAACCAAATATTAAATAATAACTAGATTGCAAGTAAAGATTGATATATAATAAACAATGACTTTAGATGACTATTATCAAACTGTTTCCAAAAAAAAAAAAAAAAAAACAGGAAAAGGAAAATTCAAAGGGCAGGGCATTGATATTTTCCTCAACATTTTTGTATTAGTAATAGCTACATGGTTTGATGTCTCCCAAATTTGCACAAATATCTAGGGCTCACTTTTTGTAGTTAAGGCAATATTTTGCTTTTTATAATGAAAGCATTTTCCATGTTTTATTTTGTTGATTAGGATAACTCATTTCATCAGAAAAGTAGCGTCAATTAACATAGTGACACATTTGAAAATATGTGTTAAATTTACCAGTAGAAGTTAAATTACAAGCATAAGTTATTTGTCATTAGAAAATATTCTGAAGCATACAAGAGTCATTTTTCCCAATATCCATTTTACAAACAGGTCAACTGAGGTCAGGCAGAGTAGAGTAATGCCATTACTCTAATTCAGGGCAAAGATTCACAAGTGTTTTGGAGGGTGAGGGTAGTATTTTCTTTTATGATTAATATAATTTTGTTCTCAAAGTAAAACATAAACAATATTGCTGTTCCATAAGACTCCTAAAACTATAAAACAACAGTGATTAGTTACTATTTTAAATTTTACCAATCTGTACATATATTCAAAAGATACAGGTCCATAATCTCTTAAGATGCAATTTAAGGTAAAATAATAAAGCCGAATTACTTAGAATTTAATATAAGTTTAATGGCTTTAGTATCTCGGTATTAGTTAATTTTTTCACCAGTTCTAAGTGAACATATAGAGTAATTGATTTTTAGAAAACAAAAGAAAATTACATACCTGAAAGACTAATTATCATATTTTGGCGCAAATTGTTGTATTATTAGCTTCAATAATACATGATAGACAATGTACAAACAATGTTTAGACATCTGTTATCACAATGTTTCAGAAAAAAATGAAATCATAACAGAAAGTAAAAAAAAAATTGAAACCTTAATTCTTATTCTCTTTCTGTAAACTTTGGAATGAATAAATAATCTGTTTAAATGAGAAGCAACTTATGCCTTTGTCTTCTGCTGGAACCAAACTCACATTTGTAAATTTCAGTTAAAAAGGCTGGTTATTCATTTGTTCTTTATTTTTTTCTTTCCTCGATCTTGCTGGAACTATCTATCTTCTATTAGTGTGAAAACTTTGAAGAAGAAAAGCTATTTCACCAGAAAAATCAATGATGTGTATTTGTGATCCTTAGGAATGACTCAAATGGGAATAGATATCTAATACAAAGAACTGAGTAAAAGAGAACCACCTTTTAAATAAAATTGACTAAATGAAGTTATTCTCTTAGCCATTAACACTCGTCAGTCATATACATCATGGAATACTACACAGCCGTATAAAGAACAAAACTATGTCCTTGCAGCAACATGGATGCACCTGGAGATCATTATTCTAAGCAAAGTAACACAGGACTAGAAAACCAAATACTGCATGTTCTCATTTAGAAGTGGAAGCTAAACACTGAATACATATGGACATAAAGATGGAAATAATAGACACTGCAGACTGCTAGACGGGGGAGGATGAGAAGGAGTAAGGATTGAAACACTACCTATCAGGTGCTATGCTCATTACCTGAGTGATGGAATCATGTATACACCAAGACTCAGTGGCACTCAATTTACCTATGTAACAAATCTGCAAAGATACCTCCAGAATCTAAAATAAAACTTGAGAATAGAAACGAAAAACCACTCATGTATGTAATATGATACCTTCCAAGTAAAACTTCCTCTGACTTACAAATGTGATTTATTGGAATAGTTTGTGGTTTACAGTAGAGTGTATATTCACTGTCCTTTATTTTACATAGAAAGAGGAAAAACTAATTTCATTCATGTAGATTTATGAGAGAACAATTTCATAAAGAGGAAATATACTGCCAACCCCCCCAAAAAGCAAATATATTTAATTTGTTATGTTGAAAGTTTAGAGTTTATGAACTAACATGTTATTCTGTTTGGTTTTTCAGTTTCCAGGTTAACTAAGGTCTCAGCTTTAAACCAAAAGTAAGAAGAGACATTAAGATTTTCATTCTTTCTGGGTTATCTCCTTCCTGAAGAGCAATGGAGCCACGTTTAAATGGAAGGAGATTAATCATATCTCTAATTTTCTTCCTGTTAAAATTCTCGACAGCAATTGAAATACCACCCTCAGGTAAAGTTACAGCATTCAGTGCCTATTAATGGAATTTCGTATTTGCATTTTGATTTTTAAGTAGAATACTTATGGATTGAGGATGTGACTTTTCTCCATATTTCTATATATTCTTTAGCAATCTGTCAAGAGAATTCATATTTATCTTTTTCATTTTGTGGGTGGCTGATATACGACTGCTGTAATTATTTTGCAACCCAGGCTTTTAGTTCCTTATGCAAACTTAGAACATATGAGAATAATAACCTATAGATAAGTTAGTATTTTTCCATATGTCTAGGATTATCTGCAATATTACCAACAATTTCACTTTTATACACTTAGGTTACTTAATCAAGATCCAGAAATTACTGGCATTCAACCAATTACGTCAAAAAGGAATTGGATAAACTTTGTATTCTTTTTCAAAATGATTATATTTAAGAATGAAAACAATGAATTAGCAAAATAATAAGCCGTTTTACAAGTAAAGGTGTAAGATGATATCAACTCTCAAAACCTACAGCATTATATAGTGTGCATTCATATTAAGAGGTTAGACAGTAGTTTGATGGAAATATATAAATATATATTCTAACACATGTTGGTAAAATGGATGCAGATTTTTAACCATTATAAACCAGTTTGAACAAGTCATGGTAATTAATAGTTAAAAAAAATACATCAGCATCAGCAGGACATGGTGATACATGCCTGTAATCCCAGCTATTTAGGAGTCTGAGGCAGGAGGATTGCCTGAGCCCAGGAGTTCGAGACTATAGTGTGCAATGATCACACCAGTGAATAGACATTGGAGGCTAACCTGGACAATATAGTGAGACTTTGTCACAAAAAAAAAAAAAAGCTAAAAATATCTGCAAACAGAACGTATGTAATAGTATATCAAGTCTGTCGCAAGTTTTTCTTATATTACAGGCATATGGGATCTAAAAGGCCCATGAGAGGTTATTAATACATTTTTATCCATATAGTTCAGGAATAATCTCTATTGTCTCTTTTGTATATATTTTGGAGAGTTATTGTATTAGAGGTATGGGGTGTTTATTAGAATCTTAGTATTGCAGGTGATATTTGTGGATCCTCTAAATTCTAGAGAAATAGCCTTGAGCTCATAAAATTTAATAAATGTTAGAAAAGTGTTGAGACTTAACTAAAACGTTGCTTTTGAAGTACTCAGACAGGCTGAATGTGAATAGAGTAGGAAACAACTCTCTGACTATACATAATATAATGTATTTAAAAACTATTCTAAAGGCCACCTTAAATTACTTGATACAGCTATTTTATATTATATACTTTGGAAAGTACTGCAATTGTAGTTCCATCCCCCCAGGTAGAAACCCCTTCTCTATTATTTTTAACAGATAAGTAAGCTCTGTTTTGACATTTCCATTTCTTAAGAAATTCCACTTATCTGACCTACAAATATATAGACTTAAAGTCTGCTTTACATTTGGCTGAAATCTTTCAGCCTCCTCAATATATTAGATTTCATCACTGACCAGCCTTTTTGTAGAAATGCTGGTCGGGAGACTAAAGTACCTTCATCTTTAGTGAATTCTTTTGGTTTGAGTAAGCAGTAGCAGGTTAAGAGCAAGCTTCTTGGTAATCCTGTGGAAAAAGGTTAGTAATTTCACATTGTCTTCCCAATAGCAGCAAAGATGCCACTGAGATTCCTGATTCAGATTCCTGACCATAATCTCTGGCATACAAATTTATTCTTCATCATTTCTTACTTTGTCGGTGGTGAAGGATATGAAATTTTGTATTAATTCCTGGCCCACATTTTTATTCTGGTTGTCTCGGTTACTTATGCATTTTCATGCTATAATGTCCTTAGACAACAATTGTTATAAAATATTAATGACATGTTTTCAGAACATCTGAGTATTATTCATTTATTTCAGGGCTCTAGAGCACTCACAAGTAAATGCAACTAAGGCAGGTATCCAATTTGAATGTCAAGGAGTCTGGTGTCTCTATAACTGGATTAATTATAGAGGAAAGGATTTATAATGTAGAATATATATTCTTATCAACACCCAAAGGTTATTAGCTCCAATCCCCAAATAATTAGATATTGCTGAGCCTTTACAACCTTAGGAAATTTAGGAAAGAATAATGTTCTAATAAACATGTTGTTCACAAGTTATTAGCTGATATCTAAGGGACTGTGGCCATTGTGTATCATCCCTCACCATTTATAAGTGCAATAAAATTTAAATAATATGAATTTGCAATAAGCTGAAGTCTTGCTCTACACAGAAATAGTAGTAATCAGAAACAAAGTAAATGTGAATGAAAATACAGATATTTTGCATGTTGGTTTATGAATATCCAGTAGATAAACACTGAACTTGAACTAATATCCATAAGCTGGTAAAACTCACTTATCAGATTTATTAGGCAAGAGTGAAAATTGAAAAAAAAAATAGAATTAATAGAAAAAAATTTAGAATTTGGAAAGGCGTTTAGTTTTTATTCTACTCTGGCTGTCAATGCTCAAAATGTGGTTTGCAGAATTATTGGGGCCCCAGAGATACATCCAGATGGTCTATGAGATCAACCTGTTTTTGTAATAAACCTACGATGCCATTTTTTCATTTTCATTGTATTGTCCTTTGCTCTGATGATACAAAAGTGATGGTGGCTGGGCATGGTGGCTCATGCCTGTAATTACAGGGCTTTGGGAGGCTTCAGATTAGGAGTTCAAGACTGGCCTGGTAAATGTAATGAGACCTCATCTCTAAATATATATACATATATATTTTTATATATTTGTGTATATATATTTATTATATATTTATATATATTATATATTTATGTATATATATATGTGTGTATATATATAAATAGCTGGATGTGGTGGCTCACACGTGTAGTCTTAGCTACTTGGGAGGCTGAGGCAGTAGGATCATTTGAGCCCAGGAGGTTGAAGCTGCAGTGAGCCATGATCATACCACTACATTCCAGCCTGGCATTGGCATCAAACTTTACTGGTAGTCAGATGATACTTAATGTCCATATACTCAGAGTAAAAAAACTCTCAAAACAAAGCAAAACAAAAACAGTTTTGCTTAAGATTATAATTGTTGAAGCACTTATAAATTATTAATGTTATTAATGAACTACCTTGGAATACATACTTTCTAACATTTTAGTGAACTGGGAAGTAGACAGGTATAAAATAATTATGCTATGTATCAAAGTGTCTATTTTTTGATTGAATGATTGCTTGAGTCTAGCTGGACATCATCGTCACTTTAAAGTTATGACTGACAAATTATGGTTGCTCAGATAGATATAGGTCAGATATTTTCCTGAAAGTGAACCAAGTGAGCCCATTCACTTCAAGGTAAACAACTGACCATATATGTAAGTCACTGATAAAATGTGAGTGTTCAAGAAAACATTAGAATTGTGGAGGACATGTATTGTTCACTGTAAGCTTGAGAGCTTCCCAACATTTGATACTGCTGATTAGATCAGTGGCAATTCTAATAAACTTCAATTTTTGATATTCTGTAATTAAATGCATCAATATTTGGAAGACACAAAACTCAGTGGAAGGGTATTTTTTCCAAATGAAAGCTGCATGATGTTACAAAATCATTTGTAGATTTAAAAAAGTAAAATGGTTTAATGTTACAGAATATGAAAAGTTGATTGATAGGGTTTAGATTCCACATTGCAATGAACGCTTAAAAAACTACCACTTGTTGAGTTTTGGTGTTCTGTCTAAAAAGAATATCTACAATCATCAGAAAAGACTATAACATTTCCCATCATTTTTTAACTACATTGTCTGTGTAAGGCTGAATTTTCTTTATATCTTTGAGCAAATCAACCCTATTGCAACAGATGGAATGCAGAGGCAGATATAAGAATCCATCTGCCTTCTCAAGAAATTACAGAGATCGCCTGTAGTTCTAGCTACTCAAAAGGCTGTGGTGGGAGGATTACTTGAGCTTGGGATTTCTAGGCTGCAGTGAGCAATGATCCTACCACTGCACTCCAGCCTGGGTGAGGGAGCGAGACCCTGACTCAAAGAATTAAGAAAAAAGAAATTACAGAGATTTGCAATAATGTAAAATAATGCCATTCTTCGCACAACATGTAGAGGTTTTCATAAAATATGTGATTTATTTTAACACAGAATTATTTTAAATAAATTCATAAGAAAACATTTTGAAAGACTTTTTCAGTTTTTATTTCTATTATAGTAAATATTGTTAACTATACCCCACATGAACGGATGTCTTGTAATTTGTAAGACTGCAAAAGGGTCCTGAGACCAATACATTTGAGAGCAATTTATCTAGGCTATATCCTTAATATTACAAATGAGAAAACAGAGAGTGGTTCAGGGCCTGGTCCAATGTCACAGGTTGTAGGGTCTCATTTGCAACTCTACTGTGGAATAGTACTTATTTGAGTTAGGCTCTGTGCCTGTCTCCAAATTGCTTTTCTCATACTTTATTTGCCGAAGTCAGGTCACTGCTGCTGAACAGTTTGTATTTGCTTATGAATCAACCCTGTCCTTTTATCAGAGATTCTAAGAACTGTACTAAAACTGGATGTCTCCTTTCGAAAAATATTGAGTGCTCATCAGCAGTAGATCTTTACACACATCATGCTCTATGTTTTATTTCAAAGCTTAATCCAAGTTGGATTTCCAGCATTAGTAAATGTATTTTATAGTTGCAATTCTCAGAAATGTAATCTCGTTGCTGTGCTAGGTGAGAGGCAAAATCACTTCCTACTTTTTTTTTTTTACTTTTATGAAAGAGTCTCACTGTCACCCAGGCTCAAGTGCAGTGTCTTGATCACACCTCACAACAGCTTCAACCTCCTGGGCTTGACATTAATCCAGCTAATTTTTACATTTTTTTTGTAGGGAAGAGAGTCTCCCTATGTTACCCAGGTTGTTCTTGAACTCCTGGGCTTAAGCGACCCTTCCACCTCAGCCCCTCAAAGTGTTGGGATTACAGGTGTGAGGCACCAAGTGTGGTCCACTCCCTACTTTTTAAAACTGTGTTTGTTTGGTAGATTACTTATCAAACACTAACACAGTTTGTCACAAGATGAGAGGATATTTGAATATAAAGAATCTATTAATGCTATTATGCATTAGTTATTATTTTATAATAATGGTTATTAGTAAGTTAAATTTTCTAAGGAAATGGAGCAAAACTCAAGCTCCCAACAGATAAGTGAGAAAAAGTTATAAAATAAAAACTTATAAATGAGGAATAACAAGCACTAAACAAGCCCATGAAGGAACGTTTATTAACCAAAAAAAAAAAAAAAAGAAAATTAAAATAAAGAGAATGGGGAGTTTATATTTTCCTTTGTAATAAATGCTAAACTATTTTATTATTTTGAAATGCTAGCATTCACTGGTGGGAAAAATATAGAGAACCACTGTACTTTTGTTATTTGTGTATATATTCTGTGGTGAAATGATATTTACAGTTTACCCAGAATAATTACCATTTGTGTCCATGCCTGGAAATTTATCATAAATCAGTAATTCAATAAAGGAAAAATCTATTTACTCAAAATGCCTATTGAAATACTTTACCAGGAAAGAAAAAAATGGATAATAATCTAATAACCAGTAATAGAATTATTAAAAAATATAGCATATCAATGGGAAGAAATAATGTAAAAGCAGTACATTAATTCTAATGTGTTTATAGAAGCATGGAAGACTACAAACAGAACTTTCAAAGTGACTGAACCAAGTAAGAATCCATATGCATGCTAACATAGATTGAATGCCAATAATTTTAATAATATATATTTTAAGTTGTGATGACATAGCAACTTTTCTTCTGCTTTAAAAATTGTTACATTATTCTGGGTTTAAATAAAATAAACATATACTGAAACATGAAATGATGGCAGTGAAGTGTATTCCTTAGAAGTAAGTACATGTTGCAAAGAAAGAGTGAGATTTATTCAAATTTTCACTTTTGTACCATCCTTTCACTTATCAGTATACAAAGGAGGTTTAAATTGTTTTCATTATAAACTAACCTTGCCTAGTGTTTGAATAGTGCATTTTTTAAGTACATATTTTAATATTTAGTTCAACAGGTTCCAACAATCATAAAACAGTCAAAAGTCCAAGTTGCCTTTCCCTTCGATGAGTATTTTCAAATTGAATGTGAAGCTAAAGGAAATCCAGAACCAACGTGAGTATTCTTTCAAACTAAGTGATTCTTTAAATGTGCGCTGTTCTTTATGCTGTTCTATACTCACCATCATAAGCTTGTTGGACTATGAATCTACACATGATTAAAGCTAAGGGTTTACAAAAAAATAATATCCATGCAAACAGAAATAAAATTTGGTTATTTTACATATGTTCTTCTGCCAGTTGAATTTATTTTGACCATAAACTAAGGGCTGTTATTAAAATACTTAGAGTAGTCTTTGGTACAGCAGAAATACTCAACAGTCCCTTAGTCTACAAATAAATAAGGTAGCTAAAAACTAGAAGCTCCTTTATTCTACTTAGTAAAATGTAGCATTTATTAAGTCAAAGTTTGTAAACATCATTCTACACATATTCATAATTGTATGTCTTTAAATTTAAACATCTTATTCTGTGGATAGGTTGTTACTTAATTTTTTTTAAGCTATCTTTGAAATATTGTCATCTCCAGTGGCAGAGTACTATTTGCATGATATACTACTATCTAGTATTATTATATTTTATAATTAAATAATTGTTATTCTAGGTGACCATAATCACTGATGAGCTTTTTTGAAATACCTCCTATTTTGGGGGAGGGAGAAAAAAATGTACATGTATTGGAAATGAGAAGGGAGAATTCCCAATATTAAAATTCTACATGATTCTAAAATGGAAAACAAAGCTACATACTTTTATTAATCTGCATGATTATCTTATATTCATTAAGAATATACATATTTGATGAAAACTGATGATTTTCAATTGTATCATGACTTTTATTATTGCCTGATAATTTGATATTTAATAATCATTAGTGACCCATTAACATGCTAAATTATAATTATTTCTATGTTTAACCAAATGGAATATATTCAATCAATATATGTAAGTATAGATAGAATTACAATGGAATGAAGGATAATTTATTCAATCAGCATGAATCTATTGATCAATATCATGATATATTAATTAGCTGAATTATTATGTCAAAAGGTAATACCATACGCTTGTCAACAGTGAAATATAAAACACACAGAGAGATGTAAGATAAGTCAGGAGGGTAGCTGGGTAGGCCTACTCCTAATGAGAATACATGTCCATGAAGGTTTGTTACTCCTGTTGGAAGAATAATCACATAGATTAGTGTAAGAATATGGTGCCCTGAAATATACCCAAATTTACATGGGTAATTCCAATATATAATGCTGAGTACAATCTAATTGGGAAGTCATTATTTGTCTATCAGACTGATAAAGATTTAAAGAGACTTTTAATGTCATTGTTCATAGAACTGACACTCTAGCATACTGGGGTGGGAATTTAACTGTGTACATTTTTTTTCTAGAATATAATTTTGCAACATTTATCAAATACTATAAAAAAGTTTTTAATTATTGCTTTCTTAATCTCATTTCTAAGGAATTGGCATATTGAAATATTTGGACAAGTACCAAAGAATAAATATATAGGGTTTTTTCTTACAATATTGTTCATAAAAGGAAAGACATTGAAATGGTTGAAAGTAATTAAAATAGTAACCATATGACAGAAGATAATGTAGCTCTAAAAATTGTCTTTAGTATCATTATAATAATGGAAAAATCCAGTTGGCCAAATTGTATATTCAGTGTGGTTAGAATATGTGACAAAATTCTAAAAATACTAATAGGAAATATTATCAAATGTAATAATAACGGGCTTGTGTGTTTTGGGATTTTGATTGAGTTCCTTACACACACATATACATGAACAGAAATTATATATGTTTCTTGTAGTCTCCAGAATATTAATAATCTTATATTACCTTTCTAATGAAAAAATAAACAAATAATTTTAGTTTAAAAAAGCAAAAGCTAATTTTAATTTTAATCTTCTCATTTGTCAAGTTTTTTTATGGACAGTAATATTTCTCAGATTCTTTTGAGACCCTTATTTATATCCTGTTATATTCCATTAAGTACATACTTTTTATCATAAACTGTCTTGGTTTTGTCATTTTTATGCAGTTGTTAATAAGTACTCTAAAAATGTGTTATTATTTTTCAGGATTATTAAGTTTAGTTTTATTTTTTAGATTTACGTGGACTAAGGATGGCAACCCTTTTTATTTCACTGACCATCGGATAATTACATCTAATAATTCAGGAACATTCAGGATCCCAAATGAGGGGCACATATCTCACTTTCAAGGGAAATACCGCTGCTTTGCTTCAAATAAACTGGGAATCGCTATGTCAGAAGAAATAGAATTTATAGTTCCAAGTAAGTGCTATAATGGGAATTTCATTTTACAAATGTTCTAGTGAAGTGTTAAATAGGAGTTATATTGGGTTCCAATGAAATAAAGCAATTATTAATTAAATCAACTTATATATGTCTTGTGTTTTATTTATAAGGAAAAATTTCCTCCAGGTTTTGACACTTAAAATTGAATGACCTTAGAAAACAACATAATTTGACTCTGTTTCAGTAATCTTACATCTAACATAGAAAAATACAATATCCGCTTTGCCTTATATGATGAGAATTAAACATATTATTAGCTAAACTTGGCTAAATTCAATGCAGTAATAGATAATCCCAAAACCTCTATCTAAACACGAAGTTATTCCTTGATAAAGCAATTTGCTGTGGGCCTGGCAACTCTTCAGGGCAACTGTTTTTCCTGCAGCCTTCTCGCTGATCTCAGCTAATGAAGACATCATCATTCTGTGGTTGCCTCTTGTGAAACATGCCATTTTGATCAAAGAGTCTGGGTCAGGAACATGAAAAATTGTATACAGGCTCTTCAGTGCTTCTGACAAGAAGTTACACAGGCAAACTCCTTACTCATGTTTTGTTAGGTGGGGCAAAGCAAGTTG